ACACATAGTATAACTATATCCCTAGAATCTTATTGCCGAATAGAAAGAGAGGGGGTATTTTGTGTGCTTTTCGAAATAAAAATAAAAACTAAGAAAATTTTGAGGAGTGGGTACGGAATTGCGGGGCTGGGAGGGGGATGAAAAATTCAACCCATCGACTCGTGGGTAATGACATGCACCTACTGAAAACTACCCCCTCGCAATACCAACCCCCTACACCCATCCTCAACGCCCATATCCTCTAACCCCCTAGGGCTGTGTGTCTGTGTGTTTTGTACATTACTCATAGACTATTGGATGAAGGGATATATGGGGTGCGGAAGGGCAGCGCACCGCTAAATTTAGACGGATGGCTCTGAAACACGTGATACGGATTTATCCCTGCGAGGAGAAATTCCTGTCTGTAGGAAAGTAGATTCCTTCTTTTTTTTTTCGTTTCTTACCCTGTACGGGGTAGCGGATGGTTGGATCGCGAGGACGGAGTGTAAAAGTAAAAGGAAGATTAAAATAAGTATCCTTTGAGCCGTACACAGAAGTTGAGCCAGTGCGCGCTCATCCAGGTATCCATATAGAGGATGATATGTTAAGATTTTACTTTGCTTAACCGCCCCTTTTATTTTTTTTTTTCGATGAAATTCGTCCAACTTTTTCTGCCATTGTCCTTCGGATATCGCAGTAACTTCGACTCTCTGCGAGGGTTGAAAAAAAAAAAGGGACGCACACCCCCTGGACCGATCCCACCACCCTCCGACGGTACAATTAATCCTGCTCTTCCATTACCTCGTTTCGATTCGCCGAGGTCTCTCGCATTCTCTCTCCCATTTTCTATACCTCTCTCTATCCTTCTCCTACACACGGAGGAATCCACCGCGAGTGTAAGGAGGCACACACCTTTTTCAGGATAGGCAAGAAAGAAGGAGGAAAAGGCCGGCTTGCGTTCATCCCTCTGCTCAGCTCCTTCTTCAACCCCCCAGTGAGCCGCTGACGGGCGTCTAGCCCCCCGACGCCCCCCGACGCACTCACACCCCAAAGTTATCCCCGCCCAGCGGCTGTCGATCGAACCTGCAGAATCTGATTGCCTCTGCAGAAACCGAATTTCGTTTCCTCCACCTTCTATCTGCCTTCGCCACCACCCTCCGTCCTTCTTAACCCCCCCACCAGAGTCCACCCACCCGTCCACCCTCTTTACCCGCAGAAGGATGAGGAGCCGAGGAGCTACCGGCAGAGCTGCTTAAAGGGTGAGCACGGACCGGGTAAAGGGTGAGTCAAGTTGAACGTTGAAGGGTGGCCAGGGGGTGCGGGGGGGGAGAGTAACGATGACCAATGACCTTATCTTCCAGGACTATCGAGGCTTCTGCGAATTTGCAGCTCCGATAATCAATAGTGTGCTAAAGGGATATTTGGTGGGTGGGCAAGGGATGGGACGGGTACAAGCCTACCCCCAGACTATATACACACTCGGATTGTTTACGTAACGACGTTCTACGATTGGATGACAATCGGGTGATTAGGCGCCGGTGCCCTTCGTTATGAGGCAGACTTTACGCGTCTTAATTGATCGATACGTTTTTCTCCTCACTTTTTATTATTTAGAGTCCTCGAGGGCGCACGATCTTAGGGGCGAGATAGGAAGAGGAAACGGAAGTGGAGGATGTCTGGTGGGTAATCGGCGCCGACGAAGGATAAGGGCGACCCTTATAAGGGAGGTAACTGTCTGAAATGCCGATTAATCGGGGATGGATCGATGACCCTTCCCTGAAAACGGACATTCATCCTCGGGATTCGTGTATGGGCCTCCACGGGGGATAAGGAGCGGAGCGGATAAAGGAACAAGGGATGCGATATGGAAAGAGAGGGATTATTGTTTATGGGAAATAATTGTATGGCGACAATGTGAATTCAGTTTCTATGGGTTAATGGATATATAATCGTTGTTGACTGATGTGGAGGAAAGAAGAAGAAAAAATTAAATTTTAATCCACGGTGCTTCGCACGATTGCATCCCTTATTTTACGGGACACTTTCGCTGCTCCGGGTTCTTCGCGAAGTCTTTCCGTAAAAAAAAAAAAAAAAAAACTGTGACGCGAGCTCTCACGCGCGCAATAAACGACGCGGGAGGAAAAGGAAGAGAAAAAAAAGGGAAACGGCCGGATGGAGTATCCCAAGTTCGCTTTATGCGACTCGCAAGGAGTTTATGGCGGTTTTACGGTCGCCCATATAAATTAAACCAATCATATTTCCGATTTATCGCGGAGATCCGAGTTGTTTTAGAAAGGTTTTTACGGCGATATGAGATTTTCAATGGGCCCAGATTGAACCGATTTATTACGCTTTATGGCCGACACCAACGAGTGAACCTTAGGCTCTCTATACGCCCCTTGCAAAAAGCTACCCTCCACTTCCTTTCCTTATTCCTCCACTTGGTATATCCATTTTTCTTTCCATTTCTTCTTCTTACCAAGGAACGATAAAAAAAAAAGTCAAACTCGAAATTCAACCTAACTGTTACACCGTCTATTCCAGCATTATGGCTCAGACTTAAAATCTAATACAAAAATATCTACAAGCAATCCAGCTGCTGGTTACTGTCGCGCTTACTGTAAAAATATGTACACCGGATTTCCGGGACTGAACAACTTTTTCAAGTTTACGCAAAACACACAAAGATCTATAGCTGCACGCCACGCGCACTCAATCCAGACGCACGTCACCTTTTCTCATCGTTCTTCGTCGCACACAACAAAAAATAGGTGTCTGATCCATTCCTGAAAACTATCCAGACACTTACTCCGAGATTCCCCACAGTTTCACGTTATTCCGGGAAACTCACGAAAATGTCAAAAACAATAAGTAACAGTAAGTATATTAAAAAAAAAAACAAAAAAACAATGAGAATCTAGCGATCCAATGTCACACCAAGTAAAAGAAACTTTTCTTCCAATCGTATCAGTGCTTCTCTTCAGGCCATCTCTCGTAGTGTTGCTGTTGTTGCACCACCTGCTGATCCGATCCTATCTGCTCCGCAGCCTGCCCGGCCGCGTGTTGCTGCTGCTGCTGCTGTTGTTGACCAGGGCCCTGCATCTGATATACCGGGTAACTCTTACGCTTCCTAATGCCATGCATAGACAACAGATGAATCTGCAGATACTGCTTAGTCTTGAACTGCTTGCTACAGACATGACAAGATATGTACTCGGTCTGCACCGTGTGAACGTTAACAATGTGTTGCTTGAGATTGGAATTGTTCGAGTAGATCTTCCCGCACTCGGGGCACTTTGGTTTTCCAGCCTGGGACGGACTCTCGGACTGCTGATGATAGGGGTCCGTGGGCCGTACGGCTTGCAGCATGGCTATGGAGCTGTCGACGATTTTCTTCTTGGCGCAGGACTGCAACATCAGGTTCAGCTGATCGTTCTTGACGGCCCCCTGTTGCTGAAGACTCTGCAGGTTGTTCTGCAGCTTCTGATGCATCATCGTCAGCTGCTCGGTGTTGAGATTGTTCAGGTTGTTCAGGTTGTTCAGGTTGTTGAGGTTGTTGAGAGAGCTGAGGGCATTGAGGGCGTGTTGTGGTTGGCTGGTGGCGTGATGTAGTAGGGACGTGAGATCCTGCTTCGGGTTGTGGACGACGCTCTGGTAGGTTCCAGACACGGAGAGGTCGTTCCTCGTGGAGGAAGTTCCTGGCAGCCAGCCGGAACTCGAGCCTGAACCGTCTCCAGCCGAGGGCTGCCACCGCCCTGGAACCACCAGCCAATGTCAGTCCTCAGCCAACCTCCAATCTTCTCTTAAACACTATTTTTGTTCACCCTTTCCCTTCTCTCTCTCTCTCTCTCTCTCTCTCTCTCTCTCTCTCTCTCTCTCTCTCTCTCTCTCTCTCTCTCTCTCTCTCTCTCTCGCTCTCTCTCTCGCTCTTTCTCGAGATTTTCTGATCTTTGACCATCGCCCTTTTACATTCCGGGATCGAGGCCGCTCGACAGCACCCCAAAGGATTCTGTGCGTTATCTTGATTAATTCTCACAGTTTTTACGTATTTTTATTTTAAATCTTATCCTTACTCCATTTCCTTTACGTAGATATCTTTTGACTTCCTTAATTCGTATTTCATTTAAATTCCGTCGTATCCGTGAGATGGCAACGATCGTCAATATCAAATTTCAGATTCACAATTATTAAAGTACCGTACAAATTCGAGTCACGACTTTAATGCGTTTTACGTTATCTCAACACCTTTCTTTTTACTTCCTCGTGAATTTTAGCGTCAGTTTTCTAGTATTCGACCACATTCTCTTGATACAGTTTACATACGCTTCCAAGGAAAGGTATTTGGCATTCTCGCCTCGCGAGATCCTGCCTCATATTTTTATAGGCGCCACGACAGCGCCACCTTATCGATACAACGCCAGTGGTGGTAAAGTGAATTAAAATCAAAATCGCCCTTCGATTCGGCAAATTTGAAAAAATATCCAAATTCACAAAAAATTCTTATTTTTCTCTACGATGCTACTCACCGTCTCCTAATGATACATTTGCTCAACAACGTTCGTGTCTCGGCGATATACACGAGGGACACAGTAGGGGAGACGGGTACGAGAAAAAAAGAGGGATCCAGGAAGATCATGTAAAATATTTTAAGGATCAAAAAGGATCCAAGGGTCATTATGAGAGGTACGAGAGTTCCATGCATTCAACGCAACAATGAGATTAAAATCGTAGGAACGACTTGGTAGGATACTAATATGGCTACGACCGTTAAGGCATGGGGGGGGGTTCATGGGGTCAAGGGGGGTTGTGCGTTGGATAT